TGAAGACAAGCTTTTGGTTTTGAAATTTCCTACATGAGGCATTTGCCTGAATGTAGTTACTGCCATATGTAATAAAAGTGAGTTAAGTGTTCCTGAGACAATATACCTCAAGTTAAATGAAACCCATTTTTCAGACATTTCAAGTATTTTAAATAATATTTATACTTTTATTATTCAAAGATTTGGGAAGTGATTCCCGATTTTTTTTGGAAAAAAAAGTTGAATTTTATGAAGAATCTGGTGCAATCTCATGCTCTCAAATAGACCTGCCGAGTTATTTATTTTTAATACATTGCAAGTCAGGTTATTTATTTTCAAACTACCACAGAACAAACTATTTATTTTTGTGATTATCAAGGCTGAGTTATTTATTTTCAAAATCCTCCTGGCCCCCCCCAGAATATCAAATGGTCGTCCCCTTATCATATATTTCTGATACTTTTCCCCACCTATTCCCATATTTTCAAGCTGGAAAAAGTGACCTATTCCAGCGGCACGTCCTATCACCTTGTATATAGGAAGTGCCCCCCCCCCCCCCCCCGAGTAATATACGCAAATGTATAAGTTAATACCTTCATAAAAGATTTATCAAGTTAAAGTCGGTTAGACATATAACAATACAACATAAGCTCTGTAGAGCACAGTCTGTCTTTATCGTAAATAACTTCGAGATTAATATGTAAGTTTACTTTGCTTATCGATGTTCCTGTAATTCAGATTTATATTTATTTGTGAGACCCCCGTCACTATTTATATTCACTCAAGAGTCACCCAAAGAAAAGGGTTCTCCGTTACTGGGAACATCTTATCTGATTTAGGATTAATTTATTGGTTACCCTCCCCTATCACCAGTGATTCTTTGTTGTAAGCTGACATTCTGGAAAAAGGTACTATACTGTTGACTATCAATTTGCATGATTAGTTACAGATGTCGACTCGGACTACTGCAAAAGACAATAATTCAGTTCACTGATTTAGATTGAATAGTATTTCGGTTAATTCTCCTTTTCCCCAAACAACATATGGCAAAATCAAAGGTACTTTATTTAAATCATTTGCACCACGTGACTTTGTCCCTTTTGATCAAATTACTTCCCTTAGCTTAAGATTGAAAATTTAATTTATTATAGATTTGCGGATAATCCAGTCCTTTTCCGTCATGTATCTAAAACTAATGTATCTTTAAAAACTTCCTTTGGCGGATATTTACAAAAATGCTGTGTAATTCTAAGGGAAAATGCTTAAAATTTGACTTTTTACGAAATGGGAAGGTTGAAATCATCATGTTTTTAAAAGAATTTGGCCGAAAACTTAAGAAAGCAGGTAAGTTAAAAGTTATTTAACTTTAAAATTCAACCTACAAGGTGTTTCCCTATATGCGAACAAATCATGAACAATATCTTCTTGCATGTGTATTTCTGTTTTGAATCTTGCTATTTTACGATTTTACGTCATTTTATTTGATCTTAAATAGCAATTACACAATGGTTACGCTTCCGATTTTTAAACTAAAAAGGCCGAAAGGTTTGAGAGTAGACAATGTCCATTTGTACACGGACAGAAGCCTAAAAACATGTACAATTCACCTATATGCGAACAAATTGTTCATTCGACATAGATATTTGCATATTGGCATTTTTATTAAAAGGGCTTATATAATCCTATTGTAAGGGCTGCCGTCATGATAAGGCAAAATGGCCGCTATGCAAATGAGTAAATTACCCCAAATTTTGCCATATGAGTAAGAATTAGGATACATCTTTAGGTAGTCAAAATAATTATGACGTCTTGCAAGACTATTTTAATTTTTTTTCTATCTATCTATCTTCATATTTCCGCACTCAGTCACAACTTTGACTATTACGTGCCCAGAAAAAGGTTAAAATAGCCTTGCAAGACGTCATAATTATTTGGACTAATCTTTTGGTAAATATGGTCGTACAACAGGGGTTTGTTACAATTTGCCGGATTTTCTATCCTTACGAACCCTTGAAAAACTAACCAGGCCAGGTGATAAAAAAATCTGTCTCCTTAGGGAGCTACCATTTGATTTTATGGGGGGGGGGGGGCTAGGATGAAATTTGAAAAAAAGGAAGGACAGGAGTTTTGAGTAAAAAAAAAAGGCAGGATGAGCAACTTGGCAACAACAAAAAAAGGCAGGATGACAATTTATGTAAAAAAAGTCAGGATAAACTAATAAAAAAAAGGCAGGACCAAATAGAGTGAAAAATGTAAAGGCAGGACAGAGATTACAACTTAAAAAAAATGCAGGATAACATTTTTCATCCTAGCCCCCCCCCCCCCCCCCCCCCATAAAAATCAAATGGTAACTCCCTTACACCAACATGACAAAAACATATACAAATATGGTATCATTGGACATTGCCAATGTGACGGCTCTTCAACAGAAACTAAAGACGTAGAAGTTAACAACTATATAGGTCACCGTACAGATTTCAACAATGGGCTAAAAAGCCAAACTGCGTAATAAGCTACAAAAGGCCAAAATAGATAGACAATATCTGACAAGGGTAGAAATGATTAGAATGTTGAAAAAAAAATCTACTGTCCATTTAAATGGCATCAAAACTGGCAGCTGACTCATAGGAGTTGTTGCCTTAAATACAGATTTTTACCTTTTTTTTTTTTCTTCATATTTCTTGAATTTGCCTTTTTATCTCTAAAACTGTAATATTTAAAGAGAAACTTTAATCTTATTAAAAAGTTATTGCTTTTCAATGATGATTTTGATCCCGTTTTTGCAAAAACTTGGAAACTTTAAATCTTGGGTAAACTCCTTATATTATACTGCCTGGTCTCGTGGTAGCGTGTTCATCTCAAGTGCAGAAGGTTGTTTATTTTGAACCCAACGGGGTAAAACCAAAGACTTTAAAAGTTGGTATTTGCTGCTTCTCCCCTAAGCATGCAGTATTATTACGAAGTAAGAGCAAATACTGGTTTTTCAGAGTCAGAATTATGTGTCAAGGTAAGGTGACATGTCCCTCTGAGAACTAGTGTAAGAGATAAATTAGTCCTTGTAAAAATTGTCTGGTCAGACAAATATAACTAGTATAAAAAGTCCATGGATACAGAATTTACTAGTATATTTAGTCAGATGTCAGTAATTTATGTCCCCAGACTAATTTTCCTAGTCCAAGACATCACTATTCCTAGGTAAAAATGTCCAGTTTTTATACGGCTGTCTGCAAAAAATTTTTGCGGTCGTATATTGGTATGACATTGGCGTCTTCGTCCGAAGACACATTGGTTTCGCACAATAACTTTAGTTTAAGTGAATGGATCTCTATGAAATTTTACCATAAGGTTCAATACAACAAAAGGAAGGTTTGGAATGATTTTGGGGGTTATGGTACCAACAGTTAAGGAATTAGGGGCACAAAAGGGGCCAAAAATAAGCATTTTTGTAACTTCCAGACAATAACTTGTGTGTTAGTGTATGGATCTCTCTGACATTGTACCACAAGGTTCCATATCACAAAGGGAATGCTGGGATTGATTTTGGGGGTAATTGCCTCAAAATTTTAGGAATTAGGGGCCAAAAAAGGGGCAAAAAACAAGCATTTTTCAAGTTTCATGACAATAACCTGTGTGTAAGTGTATGGATCTTTCTGAAATTCTACTACAAGGTTCCATATTACAAAGGGAAAGCTCGAATTGAGTTTGGGTGTAATTGCCCAAAGCGTTTAGGAATAACGGGCCAAAAAGGGGCTAAAAATAAGTTTTTTTCTAGTTTCCAGACAATAACTTGTGTTCAAGTGTATGGATCTCTCTGAAATTGTACTGCAAGGTACCATACCCCAAAGGGAAGGCTGGGATTGATTTTGGGGGTAATTGCCTTAAAATATTAGGAATTAGGGGCCAAAAAGGGGCAAAAAACAAGCCTTTTTCTGGTTTCAGGACAATAACTTGTGTGTTACTGTAAGTGTATGAATCTTTATGAAATTGTACAACAAGGTTCCATATCACAAAGGGAAAGCTGGGTTTGAGTTTGGGGGTAATTGCCATAAACGTTTAGGAATTTGGGGCCAAAAAGGGGCAAAAAAACAAGCATTTTTCTAGTTTCCAGACAATAACTTGTGTTCAAGTGTATGGATCTCTCTGAAATTGTACTGCAAGGTACCATACTACAAAGGGAAGGCTGGGATTGAGTTTGGGGGTGATGAATCATAAGGGGGTTAAAAAAATTGGGGGGGGGGGATTTTTTTTACTTTTTTTTTTCTTTTAAATTTTCCATTTTAAGTTGGTTATTTTTTATTTATGTATAAAAGCAAATAATAATGATATGGTTTGATTTCATCAAAAATTGAAATATTGGGGTTTTTTGATATATGCTGAATTTAACCGTGTATTTAGATTCTTAATTTTTGGTCCCGTTTTCAAATTGGTCTACATTAAGGTCCAAAGGGTCCAAAATTAAACTTAGTTTGATTTTAACAAAAATTGAATTCTTGGGGTTCTTTGATATTCTGAATCTAACCGTGTATGTATTTAGATTTTGGATATTGGACCATAATAGGTAAATTAAAAATTTTTAAGTTCTTAGACCACATTCGTTCTGTGTCCGAAACCTATGCTGTGTCAAATATTTAATCGCAATCCAAATTCAGAGCTGTATCAAGCTTGAATGTTGTGTCCATACTTGCCCCAACTGTTCAGGGTTCTAACTATGTGGTCGTATCAAGCTGCACCCAGCGGAGCATTTTATTCTAATACTGTATGCAATATGTCAAGTATATTTGGTGTATGAAAATTTTTAAGGATGTACATGTTAGTCTGGCATGTTTTATTCGACCTTGACCTCATTTTTATGGTTCATTGCTCAATGTTATTTTTTTTGTTTTTTGGTCAGTTTTTCTATTTTCTTACTTTCAAATTAGCAATAGGTCAACTATATTTGGTGTATGGAATGATAGTAAGGTGCATATCATGATATATTTGACTGAGAAGTTTCGTCTTACCTTGACTTTATTTTTATAGTACATTGGACAATGTTTAGTTTTTGTGGTTTGGTCTATTTTTCGGATACTGTAAGCAATAAGGCCCCTATATTTGGTGAATGGAATGATTGTAAGATGCACATATCTGTCTGGCATGTTTTATATGACCTTAACCTCATTTTCATGGTTCATTGGTCAATGAAAAGTTTGCATTGTTTTGTCAGTTTATCATATGCTTTAAGCAACAGGTAAATTATATTTGGCGGATGTAACGATTGTAAGGTGTGCATGTCTGTCTGGCAGATTCATATAACCATGACCGTATTTTATGGTTCTTTGGTCAATGCTAAGTTTTCTTGGTTTTTTCTTTTTATCAGATATTATAAGCATATGTCTACTTGTAAGTGTATGGAATGACTGCAAGGTGTCATATAAAAATAAGAAGTTGTCTGTCTGCCAAGGTTAATATTACTGTGACCTCATTTTCATAGAATATTGATAATATTAAACAAAAAAAATGATGAGCATGACAAGATATACAAATGATCCAAAATTGTCAGTTGCCTACTAATTATGTAATAGTAGTTATTGTCATTAAATGATAATGTTTACCCTTTTATGTGTAGGGCAAGAACATTAAAGATAAAGGGAAACTATAAACAAAAGAGATTATCAACAAAAATAGATTTACAGACGTCAACAAAGCCTAAATGGTAAGTCCACTTCTATAAAAGTTATTGCCCTTGAATAATGATTATTATGAAAATAAGATGTGGTATAATAAATGAGAAAACTATCCACCAGAGTTCAATTAAGTGGATGAAAGCAATGCAATTACTTATTAGAGGCTAATGATGACCTGTAAATAATGAGAAAACCCATAACCTATACATGATATAGTCATCTATGAAAGACACCACAAACAAAATTTGGAACAAAACATCAATTCAAACTTCAAATATACCAGACTAATTCATAAAAAAGAACAAGTTATGAAAAAACAAATATGACATACGTGAACCAACATCAACCACTGAACTATGTACAGGCTCCTGATTTTGGACAGGCCAAATATGGCAGGGTTGATATAAAAATAAGAAGCGGTATGATTGCCAATGAGACTTTTCTCCAATAAGGATCAATTGACATGAAATTTAACAAAACTAGTTCACTGTACAGCCTTCGACAATGAGCAAACCCTATACTGCATAGTAATCTATAAAAGGCCATGAAATTCAAAAAACAAATGTAAAACAATTCAAAAAGGGCATGGTGTCATTTAAAAAGGACATAATGTCTATCCATGCTAAACATGCTTGGGGGAAACACCACAAAGGCGAAAGCTAAGTGCCTTATTTTTGCACAAAACAATAAACAAAAAACAAATATGATATATAGCAACAATTGACAACCACTGAATAACAGGCCCCTGACTTGGGACAGACACTTACAAAATGTGGCATGGTTTAACATGTTTGCTGGCACCAAATCCTCCTCTAATTAAGGACTGTGGTGTAAGTGTCAGTTCAATATAAAAACTATAAAATCAGTTGAAAAGGGCTTTTTTCTGCTCTTGGGTCAGGTTATTTTTATACATTCCCATTTTCATTCTCAATTTTATTAACTCATTAGAATGCAACAAAGCAGAAAAACAGCTACCAAAAACACAGACCCGATGTGGCTGGATATTTATTCTTTCCCTGTAACAAAAAAGACTCAACATACAGATCTATTAGTACTCACAGTTACTGACAGCTAATTTATAGCAAATATCAACTAATAAAATAAACATTTTGTGAGCACCCAACCCACCCCTAACCTAGGACAGTGGTTTTAATAACAGCACAACCTTTGAACAAACTGTTAACATTTGTTGCAATTGGCTTAACTCAAAAGACTGTAACAAGGCACAAAAACAACTAATATGAAAACCATAGACACAAAGCACTGAAATAAGAGTTCTTACAATTTTAAATATTCAAATGAAAGTTTTATCAAAATGTACATAAACATGATAAAGTAGCCATTTTATTGCTGTATTTCTCTTCATTTATAATTTTTGAGTTTTGTGTATTTGTAGGTCAGACATCTTGGTTTTCATGATCATCATTCAACAGGTCAATACTGAACTGAAAACTTAAAGTTGATATTGTTCTACATAGTGTGACTTTTTTATTAATTTGAAATAGAATGTGTTTTTTTCCTACATAAGAAAGAGGAAATTTCAACATAATGACTATAAACAAAAAGGAGTCATATTATCATGATCATAGATGAACAAGAACTAAATCATGTAAATGCAACAACGTAATTATCAATTGAAAGAATGGAGGAATGAAAAAATATATTTGTATTTTGTTGTCCAAATGAACTTGCTTTGTCCACTCATTTAAATCGCTCCATCCAATAAAGATGTACGGAGGAAGATTTTTGAAGAACAGATTGCAAAAATGTTTTGTCTAAGAATTGTAGGAATATTCTAGTGGATGAAATAATTTGTTTACTTGACTCTTATATAGTGGACTGAATAATTGTACATAGCAAGCTGAAACAAGAAAACTAAAACTTAACAGGAAAAGTGTTTATTTTATAAATTTGCAAATATAAACGTAATATTATGAACACCACAAAGGTATAAGATTCAAATCGTTTGCATATTCATGTATTGCAAAGGAACTATAACAAAGAAAACTTTACCTCATTAAAAGAGTAAACTATTAACTGTGCTTTGTCAATTTGTTCAGTCAGAATATGAAATATTTTTTTCAGTTCTATTTTTCATAATAAAACAAACAAGACAAAGATTTCAAATCAATATTTTTTTCTTTTATTAAGACATGCCATCATTTTATTTCAGTTAAAGGATTTTATTTTTGACTTTAAATATTATAATACTTTCCAAAATAATAATAATCTTTATTGTCATGTAAACAAATTAAAAACATGTTTGTGACAAAAAGAAAAAAACCCAAAATACACTCATATTTATATTATAAACTTTTTACTACCAAACAGAATTCATTGTAACATACACATTACTGTATATTTATAATTTGAATTCCATAGGATTTTATTTTGTCCCATGGGATATTAAAAATCCCATGGGATAATTATAGTCCCATGGGATTTTTTTGGTCCCATGGGACAACAAATATCCCATGGGACTACAATTATCCCATGGGACCCAAAAAAATCCTATGGGATTTAACCAAAATCCCATGGGATAATGGTCAATCCCATGGGATTTGCTGTATCCCATGGGATATTGAAAATCCCATGTTTTTCTAAATCAAATTTCAAAATATATATAATAATAACAGCAGAAAAGCAATGAAATTATCGAATCCCATGTAATTCCGCACATTTTGGTTATATACACGACACTGTAGGTCTAAGGAGAGGCGGCGGCGGATTTGCAAATGAGTGTTTTGCAAATTAAAAGTGTCCAGTGTTTTTAGATTGCCTCAACCAAATGTTTTAACCATGCAACATTAGTCATCATTTGCATATAAGTGACGAACATTTCGGGGATGGGTTGTCACTGGGTGGAGGGAAGGAAGGAAGAAGGTAATGGCAGGAGAATTTTTCCGCATTGAATATTAAGAACCATTAAGTGAATGAATTCTCTTTCAACTTTCAGATAAAATGAAATATAAATGGATTATCATTCTCTGCAAAAAAAAATATGTTGTATTGCTACACCACGGCACCATGTTAAGGGAGGTTTGAGTGCTCACAAACATGTTTAAGCCCGTCTCAATATATATGTGTCTGTCCCTGGTCAGGAACATGTAATATAGCGGCTGTCGTAAGTTGCTGCCCGACATATTTGTTTATGATTTTGTCATAAATCAGGCAATTTTGATACGGTATGGGTTTTGTTCATTGTGAAGTGTATAGTAACCAATAGTTGGTCAAATCTATTTCATTTGGACTTTGTTTGAAAGTCCTCTCAGTGAAAACCATTCCACGTCTCCTTTTTCAATTAATGTTATTGTCTTATTTGTAAAAGGCAGATACAGCCAATATATTAGAATAAAGAACATTAATTTTCTAAAAAAAAACTTCATCTCTATATAGTAAGAAATGAACAAGCTCGGTGGCTCACACTGTTTAAATTTAAAAAAAAATATTAACCTTAGATTAATCATTTTTGGAAAGAATGAAAGAAGAATCCGATACAAGGGATACAAATCCGGCTATGGCTACGGCATAAACTAATTATATAAACTTTCTACTTGAGAATAAAGATGACCTTGTATGAAGTTTTTTTTAGTTGTCATCTTAATATTATATACTTATTAATACAATTCACAAAAGCTAGCAAAGTTTAAAGAATTATAATGAAATAACATCTAATAAGGACAGTTTGAAATATTTTTGAATCCTGATGGTGCATACTCATAAATTCTTTTGGAAAAATCCACGTAAATTTAAATGTTGATTTGATAGCATTCATTTATTTATTTGCCCTCGTAAACAGTTTTTTTAAAATACCGAAATCGGTAAATTCTTATCGTGAACGAATAAGTCGGGTACACCTTTTTACATTCAGGCGTGCTTAAGTTGCACATTTTTCTTCTTATTAAGAAAAATTATTTTAATTTTAGCATCTATCTAAAGATTAGATTATTTACACTCACACACAAAAATAGGGCTTACTGTTGATTTTGAAACTCTATGAATTCACATTTATATTCAACAAAACAGATAGGCCGAGATCCATACCTTTATAAGTTTCAAAACAGAGAAGGTGTGTTTGAAAACAATCACGTACTGCTATATCTTTTAAGGCAAATGCAAGTCTTACTTGTATTAATTATATAATTTTAATATGCACAATATCACATTAAAATTTACTGAGAAATATTATACATAGTAATCATGAAAATGTACTACTGTAACAATGAAAATTCGGACGAATACACTCTATTTCACTACCCCTCCATCTACTTATTTCAGTTTAGGCCAAACAGCCTTAGCAACAGTCTTTTATTATTTTTTCCCTGTAAATAAAAAGATTGATTGAATTTACTTAAACTAAAAAAAAAAAAACAATCTTATTTTCAATAAGATACAAGAAAATTAATTCGAAACACAATTCATGATTTATTTCTCCTAATTTTCAATGAAAACAAAGTATTTTCTTCACTTTTCTTTTAACAAATTATTCATTTCAGAAATTTAAAAAATAAACAATAAACAATGTTGAAGACCGTACCTTGACCTATAATGGTTTACTTTTATAAATTGTGACTTGGATGGAGAGTTGTCTCATTGGCACTCATACCACATCTTCCTATATCTATTTAACCCAGCACATTCTTTATGTGTCTGTCCGAAGCCACGAGCCTGTAGTTTGATGGTTGTCGTTGGTTCATCTCTATCATATTTGTTATTTTTCGTTAATTGTTTTGTTATGAGTAAGGCCGTTAGTTTTCTTGTTGAATCCTTCCACAATTTTCATGTCGGGGCTTTTTATAGCCGACTGTAAGGTACGATTTTTCGTTGTTGAAGGCCAAACGATAGCATATAATTGCTTACATACACTTTATTTGACCCTGGTGGATAGTTATCTTATTTGCAATCATACAACATCTCCACTGTTTATATTTAAAAAAAAGAACAGCGCCAACAAAAGATGAATGGTCGTTTTTTTTATTGAACTTAAAAAATTTCACCCTGACAACAAATAAGACAACAGTCGTTAGTATTACAACAATATATGAATGTATTTAGGATAATATGGTTGAAAAAAACCTTTTTGTCTTTAAAACAATAGTCAAATAGAGGTACGCAACGACGACTTCTGAACGAAATTAATGGCATATATTTTATAATAGTTGATAAGTAGTTTATTTTGTATATTTGTAAGCCGGTAAAGCTTTGATACAGCCAAAATTTCGTCACTTGATATTATCTAAACAGTGATTAATTTCATCTTTAAATTACAATATATTGCAAGACGCCGTACAGACAAAAGTTGTTATTTTGCAATTCGCCGTACAACGTCCTGCAATTCGCCGTACAATAAACAAACAATGTTTTGGTCCATATTCTTTAAAAACATCTTTATGACAACAGATTTCAGTCAATATGATGTCACACTATCATAATCTAAAAACGTGTCTGGAAAAATAATGAAAAACAGTTGAATATCTTGCAAATGGGGCGACAGAGGACAATCGACCTCGAAATTTTCAGGTACTAAGTGGCAAGCTTTGGAGTATAACACAAAATCTTGTCTTAATTTTGTTCTTATCGGCCTAATAATTTGAAGAATTACATATCAGAAAATCATTTCTTAAGCGGTACCCTCGTCAAATCAGTAGAAATGCTTTAAATTGAATGAATTCTTACCTTGTTTCCTTTTTTCCCATTTCTCTCCTCTTCGTTAGTACCCAATTTCCGGTGGCGATGATACACAGTGGAATTGTATGATTGGAAAGCTTTGTTACAATTCTATGCTGCCTGGATACGTCGGGTTGAATCTGGTCAAAATAAGTGGTCTGATGATACTGCGGACATTGAGACTCCTTTATTAGCCAGTGCCGTCAGATCTAGACAGAATAGAGTTAGTAACAAATCTGCTAACATTGTAAAAGCACCGTCAGTTTGGTTTTGTTCTGATTTTCAGAAAAAGAAATGTTCTTTTTCAGGTGCTCATGATAAGGTCATTAAGGGGGTCACTAGGTATGTGCAACATGTTTGTGTGTCTTGTTTATTAAAAGATAACAAGCAATTGCCCAATGCCGAGTTAGATCCATCGTGTCCTCATCATGAGTTATGACTACATGGCAGTAACATTAAGAATGTTTTTGCACTAGAATTTTGCAATATATGTGAGGGTTCAACATGTTTGAAACATATTTTTGGTGAACATGGTATTGAAAATCTTGTGCGTTTTCATAATCAGGTTAAGCGTTCAGGCATGCCAAATGTATTTGGTTGTAAAATTCCTGTATACTCAAAACTGAATATCAATTTTTTTAGATCTATGTTATCTATGTATCATGATTCAGATGTAGTTAATTTTTCAGAATATGGGTTCCCATTGAGGTTCTTGTTCAGGTTTGTCTGTAGAGAAAAATCATGCTGGAGCAAGAAGCCATCCAGATGATATGAGGAAATATTTGAAAAAAGAGTGCACTTACGGTAGCATTATTGGGCCTTTTTTTATTAATCCCTTTGAGACTGACATGGTTATTTCTCCATTAAATTATGTGCCGAAGAAGGATACTTTAGATCGTAGGGTGATTTTAGATTTGAGTTTTGGTGTTGATGGTGAGGACTCGGTAAACAGTCATATATGTAAGGACTTGTTTTTGGGTAATCCTATCAAGGTTTCTTATCCTTCAGTTGACTCTTTGGTGGAGTTGATAAGGAAAAAAGGTTCTGGTTCTTTGTGCTTTAAGCGGGATTTAAAGCGGGCTTATAGACAGATTCGAATTCCAATCTGTCCTGGTGATTGGCATTTGGTTGGATTTTCATGGGAAAATCATATCTTTTTTGATCGGGTATTGTCCATGGGCTTAAGGTCAGCTGCGTATATTTGTCAAAGGGTGACTAACGCGGTTAGTTTTATATTGGACGCTCACTATGATTTACAAATTGTTAACTATCTTGATGATCTAGCGGGCTGTGACGTACAAGAAAAAGCTTTTGACGCTTATGCTATTTTCGGTGAAGTATTGGACAACTGTGGTTTGGAGGAGTCTGTA